TCGCGGCGGTCGGCGGGCGGCGCGCCCTCGTACACCAGCGCCGCAAATATTTTGTCCAGCACGCGCGGCAGCAAGTCCGCACCTGCTACACCCACGCCTGGGCCTGGAGACATTTTATTTATTTATATTTATTAAAGAAACATACAACACGTTGGTAACATAAGTAGGGCTCACTGCAAGTGACGCCTAGGCCTAAGGACATGTGTTAATATAGTAGGGCTCACTGCAAGTTGGTTGGCTCGGGCAATACTGGAATATTTTCCGAATCACGCGAACGAACTAGCAATAAAACTTGCAGAAGTTGACTTCAGTAAGTTTTATTGCTTGTCTAACGGCCGAATACTGAAACACTACTCAAATCTGTCACTCAGCTGACGGGCTCCTAAATTTAAGTATCCTTCAATTTTAAATGGTATTCTCAAACGCTACTCAACGGATTTGAAGCCGTGATCAGCTAAGCAGCTCTCAAATGTTTACATAATGGCAACATTTACCAAAAAAAGTATGTTTTCATTTTCACAAATGATAACTTTACGTCTTTTATCCATTACACGCAGCATCGTTTGGTTATGTATTGTCTTTTATGGAAATATACTCAATCAACTTAACATAGAACAGTTTATTTTTAGTTTCTATTATATATAAATCTCGTTTTATCATATAAAAAAATTAATGCTTGCATTTTTATTTAATTAAAAAAATAATTTTAAAGGTGATACTTTTTATTGTTGAAATCTATTAAGTGGCGATCGTGGACCGAAACGTAACCACAATTGACATTTATCATTGTTGACTGACAGAGCATCAAATTGACAAATCAACAACTCTTGGAAATGCTGCTATGCGATGTCCCCTTAATCCTCAGAAATAGGCATGTTTATGTAAAGCGATTTCATAGCAGCTATTTTGGTTGTTACTTCGTGCACTATACGATGCACAGTTGGCTGTTAGATGTGGAAGATATCACCTAGTACACGTTCATAACTTCCCGTTGCGTAGAACAGTAGGGTTATAATAAGTATTTGGTCCACTGGTTGTATGGCATTTGGTGAGGGGTTTCAAAGAGCTTCCAAATTATGAATCCAGAAACAACACCGTTTCTTTAGAGACGCGGAACCTCGCTCGGAATTGCATGTCATTATAATAATATTTTTCAATAGCGTTCAGCCTTATTGCGTTCCTGCGATTAGATCTAGGTATTTCCTCGAGGCTCGAAAGAAATGATAACGATGACACACATTATTTACCACTATTTAGGTCGATTTAGGTATAAGAATAGGATTTAAGATACCGCGCAAGCACTCTCAAATTTAACAGCTGCTTAAGACGATTTGACAGTTGTTTGAGTAATGCTTAGCGTTGAATGGCGTTTCAGTATGCGAAAATTCATTTAAGTGGCGTTTGAGTGCAACTTAATTTGAGAGGTGCTTAAATATTGAGAACTGCTCAGATATTGTTTTGAGTATGCGAAATGTAAGTTTAGGAGCTGCTTAACTATTTGAGAAGCCGTCAAATATTTAAATGGCGTTTCAGTATTCGGCTGTTAACCTCGCTTAAATGTCGGGCCGCACTTGAACAATGTGTCAAATGTGTCGCATTAAAGCGGCTCTGCAGCTAGTGGCGCCACATAGTGAATGACACAATGACTGCCAAAATGCACGTCCACATCGCGCGTGTGGAAACCCGTCACACGCGTCCATGCTAAACTGCGCGTGCGCACGCGTTAGTTTTAGCATAGATAGATTCTAAGCTGTAAGCCAGGTCAACCCGAAGCATGTCCTCCCAAGCACGAACTAAGACGGTCTGCCTCCACTACGTCACTAGCGCCGCACTCACCCGCCAGCTGGCTGTAGGCGCAGCTCAGGAACACGAACAGCGCCGAGATGAGCGACAGCAGCAGCGACAGGATGGGCGGCGCGCGCGGCGAGCACACCACGCAGCGCTGCAGCAGCTGCAGGCCCTCCACCACGTTTGGACGGGGCTCCGCTTGAAGCAGTCGCGATAGGACCACATCTAACACCTAGAAAAGACGTAGAGGTTTGCAATTTGGTTGTCTTCGTATCGTAATCAAATTAGAGCCCCTTTGGTACTAGCCTCTGTTTAGCATAGGCTTACTCACACGATAAGGGCTATATTTCACCGGGACACCATGGCGGCGCAACCAGTCGCCAGCTACCAACAAAATGTATACAGCTCTATAGAGAGTTACTCACCTGTAGGCCTAAGATGCGCGCCGCGGTAAGCGGTTATCACGCCATTTTATCAATTTTGCCCATACATTTTGACGTCGATAAAAGTTATCACGGCGCGCATCTTAGGCCTACTGGTGTTCGTTTGGTTGCGCAAAGCTGCATACATTTTGTTGGTAGCGGCGACTGGTTGCGCCGCCATGGTGTCCAGGTGAACCTTAATGCCCTAAACCCTAACCCTATAGCCCTAATGCAGATATGTGACGCAATGTCACACCTTTTGCGCTGCAGCTAATTTAAACGATGCGCTAGCGCGGCGCAGACGTACAAGATTATGCATGACAGAATAGCGATGCGGCACGACGCTAAGCGCCGTGTAATAATCTAACCCCAGCAGAAAAGCCGCGACAATACAACGCGTGCGTGCGTGCGCCATACATTCATCGCATGCCTAAACTGGACAAACGCTAGTGTTAAGGGTCTCTTTACATTTTTTGTAAGATTTGATTTTGAATAAAACACTGAAATAAAGATCATAATTTACACCCAGTCATATTTTTTAAATCTCAAACAATCTCCTTGCCAAGTGACTATGACCACTATTATCAACACAGTAGAGTTCACGCACCTGCGACAGCGCCTCCCACTCGACGTGCAGCGGGTGCGTGACGTCACCGTGCGGCGGACACGACTCCACCTTGTCGAGCGATGTCCGCGTCCGCTGCAGGCGACTCTGATCACTATTATCAACACAGTAGAGTTCACGCACCTGCGACAGCGCCTCCCACTCGACGTGCAGCGGGTGCGTGACGTCACCGTGCGGCGGACACGACTCCACCTTGTCGAGCGATGTCCGCGTCCGCTGCAGGCGACTCTGATCACTATTATCAACACAGTAGAGTTCACGCACCTGCGACAGCGCCTCCCACTCGACGTGCAGCGGGTGCGTGACGTCACCGTGCGGCGGACACGACTCCACCTTGTCGAGCGATGTCCGCGTCCGCTGCAGGCGACTCTGATCACTATTATCAACACAGTAGAGTTCACGCACCTGCGACAGCGCCTCCCACTCGACGTGCAGCGGGTGCGTGACGTCACCGTGCGGCGGACACGACTCCACCTTGTCGAGCGATGTCCGCGTCCGCTGCAGGCGACTCTGATCACTATTATCAACACAGTAGAGTTCACGCACCTGCGACAGCGCCTCCCACTCGACGTGCAGCGGGTGCGTGACGTCAACGTGCGGCGGGCACGACTCCACCTTGTCGAGCGCCGCGCGCGTCCACTGTTCGACGTACGCCCACGTCACGAGAGGGGCTGTCGACATGCAGTATCTAGAAAGAAAAAAAACTTCAGTACGTGATTACTTGTAAAAGGGTAAAGACCCCAGGCAATTGATATACTTTTTTAGGATGTCAAAATAAGATTCCTATAAATTTTGTAAGGCAAAGGTGATTTTACGTCATCATCGAACTCAATAAACTGACAATAATTCATTTTACATATTTTTAAAGCTGCTAAAAATCAAGTTTTACAGCTGTTTGAAAACGTAGTTGTAAGTCCGGTCGCCGAGCAGATAGAATTTGCTGCAAACTGGTGCCCTTCGCACAGTGAGCGTGCGAGCGCGACAGCAACGTAATGGGTAAACGCGAGCGATAAGGATGGGTAGCTTGGGGTCATTGTTCGAAATTCTATCTGCTCGGTGACAGGACTTAAGAACATAAACACAATAGATATATTTAAGTAGCATTCGAAGAACAAGTCTTACCTAAAGCTATCTAATATTTCGGTGCGACACCGACTGAAGAATATGGCAAACTCTTGTTCACTGTCGTAGTCCATACACGCGTACGCGACTGCGTCGTTCACGCCGCTCACCCGAGACGTAGGGTACGTCACCTGCGACAAGAGAATGCATTTTTACAACCGCCAGAATATCAAGTTTTATCTTACACTAGCTGTGCCCGCGACTTCGTACGCGTAAAAACCCGTTTTCGCAACATTTTTCATTAAATCGTTCCTCGATAAATGGGCTATTTAACACTAAAATAATTTTTCAAATCGGACCAGTATTTACGGAGATTAGCGCGTTAAAGTAAACAAACAAACTCTTTAGCTTTATAATATTAGTATAGATTACTCAGGACGAATAATATGATTAGCAGGGCACATAGTACGCAGAGCAGACGGCCGATGGGGCAGCAAGGTTCAGGAGGGGTACCGGAACGTCTACCTACAAGGTGCTGGATGCAGGCTGCTACCAATCAATATGGAAATCATTGGCCTGCATTGACCTGTGCCTGAAATGATGATGATGACTCTCTCAGGAGTACCTTGAGCACTTGTGCTTGTGCTTGAGGAAGGCCAGCCACAGGCGTGGGCGGCGGCCCAGCGGTGGGACGTACCTTGAGCACTTTGGGCGCGGAGGCGTGCAGCCAGCGCGGCACGACGGCGAGCACGTGAGGCAGGCGCGCGATGTGCTCGTGCTTGAGGAAGGCCAGCCACACGGCGTTGGCGGTGTGCGCGAGCGTCAGCGACGGGTGTGACGTCAGCAGCAGCATCGTCTCCAGCAGCACCGGCAGCCAGCCCTCGTAGTTGGTCGCGTACGCCCATAGTGACGTCAGCTGCTGGGACAGACCGGCGAGGACCTAGACGTGCAAAATAAATGGCGTATTTTTATGATTCTTTCAACAAGACAAATGCAACCTAGAGCTCATTCGTAGCTTTTGTAATTGGAGTCGACGCTACGATGCAATGCTACAAAATGCTTTAAAATGTGAGTACCTCCGCACTACAAGTAATACTAGAAGACATGACTCTGTGGTTCAACATAACAGAAAAAAAAGTTATAATTTATCGAAATGATATGTTGGGTCTAGGGTTGCCAGATCCATAAACACAAAAGCCGGACTGGGTGCTTAATTTTGCCGGACATTTAACCCTATACATGCATGAGTGCTTGTTATTATTCTGTGACTCGATTTTCGACTAGCGCGGCAACATAAAAAGGCGAACAGGCCGGACAACAGAATATTTTGCCGGATGAGTCCGTAAAAAGCCAACCAAGTCCTGCTAAGGCCAGTAAACTAGCAACCCTGGTCGGGACAATATTGCGATCGAAAGTAGGGAGACACAAAACACAACACGATAGATACAATTTCCATAATAGCTAATCGTCAATATTAAAACTGACATGTGTACGACCGCCCCAAGTACGTATTATTTTATTCTTTGTGTACCTTGTGCACGATTTCAAGGAGATTAGTTTCCAAAACATACCTGCGACAGTTTCTTCAGGAACAAGTAATGCTGCTCATCAACCGCATTGATGCTGGCCAACGTCGCACGGTGGATGCACGCGATTGCGTCATCGCTGAACAAAATCATCAGCGGTTTGCGCTCCTTTGTCTGAAACGAGAGCATTGACTCAATTGTTTGAACAGATGGTCTAATTGACCCGAATGAATAAAAAACAAACAGATAAATTAATCCAGTAATAGTAATTGTGTGTCTTTAGAAAGCAAATAAGAAAATTTATTTGTAAAAAGTACTTATTGTAGGCAAAATCTTCCCTTTTGCCTTTGGTTAAATAAAGGGTCCTCCTCTCCTCTTACAGTGAACATATTGATAATGGATGATGATGACTAAATAATATTATTTTAATCGAAAATGGACTTAGCCAAAGTACTCACGGAGCCCTTTCTATTAACGACTTGCAACAAACACTCGGCCGCCGGCAACTGGAATGCATCGTCTTGCAATAAAATGCACAGAATCTGTAGCAGGCGCCCGTTGTTCATAACCACGTGATTGGTCGACACCCATTCCACGAAGCCAGTCAGAGTTAGCAGCACGACCTGTGACAAACAAGAATCTTAAGTCGTCGTAATATGGACTACTTTGCAACAAATATGTAAAGTATGATACGCCGTTAAATGTATACTACGTCTGGAGTGTGGATTACTTGCAAGTTATAATAGTGGTTGCTTCAAATAACAATCTTATTAAATAAGTTACAGCAATTAATTGCAGTTTTTAGTAAAAGTACATCCCATCAAAAACAATACTTGTCAAAAAAACCAAGTCTCGCAACTCAGTTGTTCTACGGTAAAAAGTTGTGAGATCCATGTAATACCAAGTCCAGGCCAGGAAATCTTTAACGTTTTACATAAATTATTGACTTGGCCATCGCACTAAATAATTTAATTTACACGTGTTTTCATGCGATGGCCAAGTCAATATATTTATGTAAAACGTTAAAGATTTCCTGGCCTGGACTTGATCTGGGAATAGGAGATGTTCTGCAACTGTAGACAGATGTAGTATTTATTGGCTGGAGGAGCAAGGGCCAATGGCAAACTAACACAGAAAAACTGATAGTGTTTGTAATTAATTAATAGCGCTATTTTTGTCGCTAATAATATCCAGCTGGGCTAGGATGCGCGCCGTGATATACTCTTATCGACATCAAAATGTATGGGCAAAATCGATAAAATGGTGTGATAACGCTATTCGCCTACAGGGCTGTTTTATTTACCTGCACCACTCGCCCATTGCTGGCTGCGGCGTTGTAGTCTCCTGCAGCTGTCTTCTCGCGAAACTCTTGCACGTGCAGCTCGATGAGGCGCATGAAGAAAGCAAAAATCTCCGACATGTTGCTGGTCAGCGCTTGGTAGATGTCCTTGCGACGCTGATGCTGCTCCAAGGTCTAGGAAGGAAAGCCATAAAAAATAAGACTTTTTTCAAAACAGACATTCATCGTTCATCATCGTCATCATTTCCGCCATAGGAAGTCCACTGCTGAATATAGGCGTCTCCAAACATTCCCATAATTACCAGTTGGTGGCGTGTTTATTGTCAACATTAAAATAATTTCAGGAGACAAAATCCACTTAGGATCCAATGCCCATATTCACAAACATTACTATGAGGTCTCACAGTGCGCGTGGACGCACAGGGTGACACACGAACCAATCACAGAGCCCTATTCAACGCTGTGCGTTCGATTTGCTGCTTCACATAAGCAAGCATCGTTTGTGAATACGCGCGTAAGTGTTTTGAAAGTAAGAGGCATTCTGCAAAACTGAAAATACACAATATTTTGCCAAACCTATGCATGACTGTCATATTAAAGCCTTATGTAAAATTATATTACTAATAGTTGCAGCTGTTATGCACATGTTTGAATTACAAATATTAGATAGTGACAACTTGTAGATTTTTTTGTAAGAAATTGTACTCAAGGTCATTCATGAAACAACAATTTACACAAGTTAAATGAAGGTTAGATGCATCTGATTTAATATTGTGTTAAGACTGACAAAGTATGTAGCCACTGAAAATTGAAAATGAAGATAGTTATAACTGTTATAAGTATTATTAATAATATTTAGATAATTAGCAGATAAGGCTGAATTTTGTTGATTGTCTTTTATAAAGTGGGTAAAGAATGGTATTGCAGGTTTAAACCATAGCCCTTCATTAGGTTTTTTTCAAAAATACTCAATGTGACTTGAAATAAAAAATACTCAATGTGACTTGAAATAAAAAATACTCAATGTGACAATCGTACCTGTAATGTCGCAACATCCTCAACAAGCCTCAGAAAGACATGCAGCACAATTTGCGTGTGCACATGTCCTCTTGCGCACGCGTCGCTGAGCTCCGCCAATAAAGTGGGCCACTGTTGAGGCCATTCGCGCTTGATCATCTCCACGATGACGCGAGCTAACGCATCGTTCAGGTGGCCAATCTCCCATCCTCCCATGTATAGCAGTTTCATAGCATTTTCCTGTTTAAAAAGAACACTTTTTATGTACAGATAGAAGATAGGTTAAAAAAAAATTCAAATGATTTTGTGAAAATAAAAAAAATTGTTTAATTTACAAAACAAAGTTTTATAAATATTTTCTGACTTTTTTCCAAGTGACAGGAGGCAAACAAGACTGTGACATAATTACTATATTGCATAATTTGTATTCATTTGATTTCTTTATCAGTAATGTCTGCTGTAAGTATTTACCCCATGAACTTAATTAATCTCAATATAATGATGTAGTTTGTCTAGTATTCACTTGATTACTGTTGTTGTGTCACCCAAATTGATGTGTTTACACTGTATTATGTTAAGGCCAAGTCGCTGCACGGTGGTCCCGCGTCTATGTAACAGCGGTCAAAAGTGGAAAACTTCTTAATAAAATAAAATACTTTGTAAAACATTGTATAATATTATATTATTCTACTGAAATTAAAGTAATACACTCTTTGGGTAAAAAAGACTTCCTTTTTTTAGGCAAATTTCGCAAACCAGTGATATAAGGATCGCTTAACCAGTCAGATTGTCTATTTTTGAAAACTTTTGTAGACTGAGATGCCTTTTTAAAACACTCACAATTTTTTTTGCACATGTAATTACTCTTATTTTCTAAATTCTGCATGTCAATATTTTTCTCATCACTAACTAATGATAACTTTAGATGTTGGTACACAAGACGAGACTTTTCAGCATTCGTGACTTTTTTTAACATTCCATTGCTCAAATACTAACAATCTTGAAAACGAGCAATGAATTTCTTAGCTTATAACAGAAAAATCAATTGTTTTGAATTTTAAAACTAAGTTAATAATGCAACTTTGGACCCCTACTGTCAAGACCTTTGGTACTCTTGGGTGAAATTGCATACAAAATATAATAAAGCGTATTGTCAGCTAACTAATGACGTATAAATTGTTACGGGGCACGACGGGGAACTAAACTAAAAGTCTAAAAATATTCAATAAATTATCAATTATTTTCATCATATTTGACATGTTAATACTAGCCATATAACTTTAAAATTTTGACAACAAGTTACACATTACCTTTTTCCAGGATTTCTATTGTTAAATTCACTAGTTTTAAATACAATTTATAAACAAAACTTTATGTAAACAAAGCAATAAACTTAGGACGCGCTGATAGCAACCGTCCTTAGGCTTGCAAGCAATGACTTCTGACTCGTAAAAGTATACCAATTTGTTAAGAAACATGTTGGTACTTTAATATTTTCTAAAACTAGAGGTTTTTAACTATCTATCTGCGTAAATAAAAAAAGATTAATAGACAACTGATTTTTTTGACTTTTGACCTCTGCCGGGCCCACAGTGCGCTGGATGGAAACAACATAGGGCCTGGTGTGCGTTTACATCAAACACGCTCATTCGCGTCACTAGCTCGTCAAAAAATTACATTAAATTTATGACGGATTGTACAGCGCCCTAGCGGGAAACGATCAAAAACTAAAATTTTCATACATTTTTGAAATAAACTCACACTCAGCCCACAGTACAAACTTGTATTCTTACCTTGATAAATATCTTTTCTGCCTGAGTGATCTGAGTCCACCTGTACTTGACTGTGTGTTCCATGAGCTGCAGGCCGAAGTGTTTAACAACCGCCGAGTATTGGCTGCCGCTGGCCAACAGCAGGCCAGCTTGTGCACACCATGGAGAATTCTCTTTGAAGCTATGTGACATAAAATGTATTAGAATAATGTATGTATGTAATATAAGAATAAGGATTTAATATTGCCTTCAACATTACACTATTCTTCATTAAATTGGCATAGTCATAAATGTTTATTGCATCATGTTGGTACATTTGGATCATAAATAACAACAAAAACATCTTCGTTCAAAAATTACATGATCTCATTTCTTATTAGTCACAAGTCTGATTTTGATCATGAATTTAATTTAATGATATGCTGTTGGGAACAAAAAATAAGTAGGTGTAAAACATTGTTGTCTTTGTCATTGTGGAAAATGCCAATTGGCATTGCAAGGTGAGACATATGTACAGAGCACACCTATTTTAGTTAAAACAATGCATAATACTTTTATAAATAAATAATAAATAGGTCATTAAGGCCATTTAATTATATGATCTACCATCATTGGCATAATTTAAAAGAAAAAGATATTGAGAATATAAAAATGTCTTTTGTTAGGTATTATTTATAGAACAAAGAAAAGCTTTAGTTTTACCTTTCACAGGCATTATAGGCTTGGTTGCGGGCCTCGTGTGCAACTGTGGGGTTGAGGGTCAACTCCACGGCACGGCTCAGGTCATCTGCTATGAGGGTCACCTCTCCAGCCACCTCTCCTCCGACTGCTCCAACATTCATTGTAGTGGGATTCTACAACTAAAAAAGCATTATAAAAAAAATTACATTATAAAGATTAGGGTAAGAGCCATTTTATCATAAAAACTGACTGGTTAAATATTTTAAAATAAAAAATTAAGAAACATACTCTTAAGTTTTCTTACCCAATATCCTGTGATAAGTTTTCCCCATAGAAATAGTTACTTCATGATCTTTTGTTTTACACTGGAAATTTAAAATTAGGTGAATGTTTTTGTATGTTTATGATGAAACAAATTACAAATTCGCGAAATTGAAACACGTAAAATTTAAAGAACATTCAATGACATTACCGGGTGCAGTTGAAGGCATGCAATTAAAACCTGCAAGCGACAAAATATTAAACACTTACGCATCCCAAATTTGTTCAAATTTTATTCAACGATATAGTTTTGTAAATACTGAAAAGTATTCGCGTACTGACTGACCACAAAAAACACGAAACACATTCAAAATAAAGAAAATACCTCGTGTCGAACAGAAAGAATTTCGGAATATTCCATAGACTAGCTAGACAATTGAGTTTCTTTTTTAGTTCAGGAACGATATGAATCGATGGCTATAGAAACGTGATGAAAACAGCTTAGCCCGTGGCTTAGCTTATTTGGTGTATTTATCTCACAATATCTTCATTTTGCAATGTTCGTCCGTTTTGTATTAGAAAAGTGCTTGGTTTTGTGAAATTTATAGCCCTAGAAACTATGAAGTTTCTCTGTATGACTTAAAGATTTGTCACATTAGATACGTTTGCGTTCTGCGGTCTGCTGCAGTTCGTTCTTTATGTTACGAACTATGGGTACTTATGAACGAGGTTATGAGCATCAAACTGATGCCAGTGGCCTTTGCCCACCAGGCACCTGCTGGCCGCACCCGTTTCTCACCTGCCTACCCGCAACAACCCGGCTGGTTTCTGAGTATGTTGTTCATTCATGATTCGGGCTGCTGCGTTCACTTTGATCTGACCGCAGACCGTAGAACGCATCTAGTATGGCAATTTGGCAAATCCCTAAAATGTGGTTAGAAGAGCTCGGCAGTTCGGCAAAAAATTCACAATCGAGTTATTAAAAAAAAAGTAATTGCTCTATGGCCAATGTTTTGGTTTGTAAACGTCAAGTTGACCGACCAATCAACCAAATGTCAATTTTGAATTTGAATCTGCACATCGTAGTTTATTTTTCGTAATAACATTACAAAAAAACGCTAATCCAACTAAAAAGTATATGCTTAGTGCTAAGAGTTATACGAAGGAGTTGCATTTATTATCCAACTTTGTTTGGTGCTATTTAATATGGATAATAAAATAACATTTTTGGAGCCATCGTTAGAGAAACAACTAAAGGGGCACCGAAATGGCATTACGGCTATTTACTACAGTCCTAGTGAACAGCAGCTTGCAACTAGCTCTTTAGATAATAGTGTTCTGGTAAGTTTTATTTTAAAGATTAAAAGTTGTTTGCTGTTGCCTGCTAACAGGCTCAATAAACAAACTGGTCGATTGCAGCTATGGGATCTTCGTGGAACTATGCGGAGCTACAGATTCCAGGGTCATGACGAAGCAGTCATGGATGTTACGTTTTCCCCCACTGGAAAATACATGGCTTCTGCGTCACGCGATAAAACTGTTCGTCTATGGGTACCTACAGTTACTGGTAGTACAGGTGTCTTCAAGGCGCATTCGCAGACTGTACGCTCTGTTCAGTTCAGTCCTGATGGTACCAAGGTGAGTGTTCTCAACTTTAGTTACTTATCATTTATTTATGGTTCACAAAACAATTTGATATTTCAAGATGGTCATTTAGACTTTATTAATTGTTTTTATTAACATTTTTTCAGATTATAACAGCATCAGATGACAAAATAGTAAAGCTGTGGTCAAGTGATAAACACAAGTTTATTGCATCTTTTGTTGGTCATACAAATTGGGTGAGATGTGCCAGAGTATCCAATGATGGCTCAGTGATTGCATCATGCTCTGATGACAAAACAACCAAGCTATGGAACCCCGACACAGGGGAATGTGTTCATACATACAAGAACCAGAAAGGACATGGGTTATACTTGGCTTGGCACCCCTCTGGCTGTTACATTGCAATAGGCACATCTCAGGGCAATATTAAACTTTATGATATCAGAACACACAATCTGGTACAGTATTATAGGTAAATACTTTGCATTATGAATCATTGTTGTTGTTATATTTAAAAAATGCTTGAAAACAAATTAATATTGGTATCTTTTCAGTATCCACAATGATGCTGTCACCCAATTGGCTTTCCATCCCAGTGGAAGCTATATTTTATCATCTAGCAAAGATGGAAAAATGAAGGTAACAATTTGAATGTGCAATACCTTTTGAATTTAAGTTTAAATTAAAAGTATGTTGTAATTAACTGCTTTTATACTTAAATGTTTTCTAGATATTAGATTTATTGGAAGGCCATCCAATTTTTACCCTGAGTGGTCATAATGGTTCAGTAAATGCTGTGAACTTCTCACCAACTGGCAATAGTTTTGCATCAGCAGGGAAAGATAAACTGGTATGTATAGCTTGATTTATTTGTGTAGTATTATTATGTGTCTACTGTTAATTAATGATAAATAAATATTTTTACAGGTGTTTGTATGGAAAACAAACTTTACTGAGTTTGCATCAGAGTCTAAAGAAAATGTTGCTCAAAATCAGGCTTCTGCTCCAAGAACAACATCTCAGAGCTCAAAACTTACTTCAGCTTCTAGAGGGAGAAATCAGGTTGTCAAAAAGAGATAGTATAGATTCAGTAGTAGCTATTGTGACCAATAGTCAGTATCTACCTAGTATGTAAAATGTTGGTAAATGGTATTTGTATGTAAATAAGCTATAGATTTTATATGACAATTAAATATAATATATAATATTGTATTTATCTAAAGTTATTTTCTTGTTTAGGTGTGGTCATTCACAACTGTCACTACAAAGTATACAGTAGCTCTTCAGAAACTTGACTTTAGAGAGAACTGTCTCTTTAACCCCCTCACACGTTCCTCTTCTTATTAACATCAGGAGCAAGTATATTAATTTGATTAATTACGAATCAGGGCATAAGGACTTGGTATCAGTGCTACCACAGCACCAAGTATCCTGTGACTACATTTGTGCACCTTGATGACGCGTCAGATTCGCCCCAGGAATCTGGGAGGTTTTCCAGCTTCCATGAAGAGCCAAATGCTAATAGTACAATGATTGATGCAAGTCCTATGAATCCTACTGGTTTGTCAACTTCTTTGCCAGACAATTCAACTAGGCTTTCTGCCAACAATTCCTCAGTGCGATTTGATGCTCCTGTTGATGAAGGTTATAGTGTTGGCCACATGAGTCACATTCCTCGAACCCCTCCCAGTCCTGCAACCTATACAATACCTTCAATTATAAATCATTCAATTGGAACTGCAGTAGAGAATGATGAAGACCTATTTGGAATGATAAAATTAAAAGAAAATGATGTTTGTTACACCAGTGGCACTATAGAGTGGGTTGGAAGAAAGAGGACATTTCCTTTGAACAGTGGGTTCAAAATACTTCATGAAACCCATACACATAGCAAGACTGAACCAGCCTTGAAGAAAGTGAAAAGGATGAATAATACTTTCACTGGTAGAGCAGACAAAATAAAAGAATGTGATTGTGCTGATGTTCTGCCCACTGTCAATGCTATTGTTGACCACTTGAATGCACTGCATGAGGCAGTAGACCTTGTGGATTTGAGGCTAAACACATTAGAAGATAATTTGAGTAAAAGTGAACAAGGATGATCACTAGTTTAATTTTTAATTATCGTTTATTTTATTATAATTAAAAGTCAGTTCATGAAAATATGTAATTTATTAATAAAATACTGTATCAACTATTTATTTTTATGTAAATAGTACAAACAAAGAATATAACAAAGTATTTTATACTTTAAAATATTTAGTACAACCTTACTTTATAATGACGATTATAAAATTTTGTGAGAATGACATAAACATCTAGTTGCCTTTTAAATGATGTACTTATATGATTTATTCCCAGAAAACCCCATCCTTCTGGCCAGTGTGGTCAGTCAGGGTTCTTGTTGTAGAATGAGTGCATATCACAAATACAATTAGATGAATTGTAAATCAATGAAAAATGATGTCATCAAACCTGATTGCCATATCACTGGTATGCTATGCAACTGACAAAAATATTATTCCTTCCCTACATAAGTAGTTTTCTTTCCTGTTTTCTTGATCACATCCAAGAGATGGTCAGCGCTGAGTGTTGATGTCACTGATACTTTCTGTTCTGGTAGACTTATAGACACATTCTCGACTCCCTGCCCTTTTAGCCTGTTAAGAACTCTTTCCACAGCTCCAGAACAGCCCTCACAGGTCATTTCCACATTAAAGATGTGTGTCTGTAAAATAATAAAATGTAAATAGATAAAAATAATCTTGCACGTAAATGCCGTTAAACTGCACTGCTTTTTTACGTGGCTAAACTGAGATGTGAGTATTAAGGAGGAAAAATACGTGGCTACTTAGTTTTCACTCTGTTTAATACCTTTATAAAGAACAACACCAATTACTTACCGATGACATGATTATTGCTTGTATTTAGTAGAAGTTAAAATTGTAATAGTTTGTGAGAGCTACAAATCTACAATCTGATATAGGTAGGAGGCATAATCTTATCAATTTTACAGAGATTATTGAAATGGTTTACTAGACATTTGGCACCATAGAGAAAAGTAATACATAGGAAAAGTAATACATAGGAAATAGAGAACCCTCTGTCAAATTTTTGAGCCTACTAATTGACAGCCTGGTGTTAAATTCGCTGTACTTAACCTACGTACGTAACGCTCACATACACACATAGTACACGCACACATACATACATAAAGTCCACGCACACATACACACAGTTCACGCACACATAGGCCCTCATAACCTTCAAAGAATTATTGTTTTTTTGATGTACAATGTAGAATTTTTTCAAATCCATTATTTTGAAAGTATTTATCTTTATGGTGTACGTATTGTATTATTTTCAAAACAATGGATTTGGAAAAATTCTACATTGCACATGGAAATGCAAATAAACAAAAACTTTTCAATTTAATAATTTTACTTTATTTATGAACACACATAATATTATACACCAAAAGCGTCTTTTCGCAAAGTTTTCAACAACACTAAAAAAGCATTTGCACTTTGAGAAAACTCAGATCACTTGTTAACATAACAGAAAGTTTCTTCGCGATTCACGAAGGAACGAACAAAACTCCGATGAACCAGAACAGCAGCAGGTACGAAGGAATGAACTTGAATTTGACTCGACTCTTCAATACTTTAATAGGGCCACAGAACTCATAAACGATGGCTAAGAAAACAAGAATGCATTCAACCTAACAAAAACAACACCGGCCATTTTGGAGGAAAAACAAAGTTGCCATATGTTAAATAGTAATTTCTACTACTCTATTAAGTAAATTATAACAAAAAATGTCACCGTTCAGTTTTAAATTAAAACAAATTAATTTCATTTTAAAAAAAGTTTTCACATTGTAATTAACAATATTCTGAAATATATTTTAATTAAGAAAAAAATGAAAATATGAAGGAAACAGGAGCAGCGACATGCGTTTTAGGGTAGTTAAAAAGTATTCCTATTATATACCAATAACATTGATGTTTATAATATCCTAGCCGAATTTATTACCCATAATAATATAAAATTGTAAATAGTAATGTATATTGTACTTATGTAAACATTATTTTATTTTTATTATTTTGTAATTATATCACACCTAAATTGATCCTATGAAAACCATCCTTTGTTCCGTTTCCATCCGTAATTGATTCGTTTCCCTACCTTTTAACTTTAACCCAATCCCACCCTGTCTAAACGCAATGTCCGCAAAACTTATGGCAAAACTGAACGCAAAAATCAAGAACCCTGTCGTGGCTAAACGCAATCCGCGAGAGCCATAAAGAAAAAAAAAAGTATTGGAATTTATCGACTGAAGTCGCTGTTTGGAAGCAAGTTTGATCGTAGTATGGAAGTTTCCGTACCCTGTTTGGCACTTTTACTATGACGTTGAGGTCAATGACTTCATATGTCATGAATGACTGTAAATACGGCTCGCTGATTGGCTGGTAGGTCTAGCTAGACAGTTCATTAAACGTTCCAATTCATTCATCGATAACTTATGAAACATTTTCATAATACCTACCGACAAATGTTATTGATAATACATATTACAACAAAATCGTTTTTCAACTTACTTTTTTGTAACTCTGTTTGCTTTTTATCTTTTCTGTTGTTGTTTGATAAAGGTTAAATTATTTACATTTCATATCCGTGGCAAGCCGCACACCTGAAAAAAAAAATGTGTCTGGCTGTCATTTTATGTCATTGGTTGGTACCGTATGTCTGGGAATTTTATTATTTTTGTAACATTAATATTTAGTGAAGTCATGGTGTAATATTATGTTAAATGACAATATGTCACTCCAGGAAGATCTTAAGGAGTTGGGCTGGTAATTATATGCAATATATTTTGTTTATTGTTGATAATTTGCCTCCATTAACAACTAAACATTGCGTGGTTCTTCCAGGCACTTGAGCCAAGAAGGCATCGATGCTGTTAGCGAAAATGGACAAATAGTGGATGTAAATGTTTTAAGTAAGCGAGCTTTAGATGTAAGTAAGACGTCGAGTTGTGCTATGTTGTCTTTGCGCGTTCGCTACCCAACACAATAAATTGATGGTCATTCTCTCTTTTCAGTTCGATATAAGGGATATAGGAGACGGTTCTTTCCCCGAGGACTTTACCAAAGATCCGTCAAAACTCGAGAAACCTATAGTAGTCCAGATACAAAAAATCCGGAATGTATCTGCTCCGAAAGCTAACGAGGAGTCTACTTCGGCGCCTCGAATGTTGAAGTTGATTCTGCACGATGGGAAGTCGACGTGTACCGGGTTGGAGATCCTTCCCATCTCCAGCCTCAGCATCAACACTCCGCCGGGGACCAAGCTGCTGCTCAACAACGAAGGGCTGGAGACGTGCCATGGGGTTGTTTGGCTGACACCTAGTGTCATAACTGTGTTGGGTGGAAAAGTCTCCCACATGATAGAGAAATGGGAATTGAATCGTAGTCTTGCCAAGCACACTAGAGGTGAGTTACAGCTGTGTACCTATTTATGATTTCATAGATTCTGTATTTCTAATAAGAAAGTGTAATGTTGTGTAATGTTTTTTTATATAGTTCCCAGTTGATAAATTTTAGGTGTATAAAGTATTGTTGCTTGCATTTATTTGTTAATAAATGTAAAATTTATTGAAGGTGGTATAGGAGTGGATGGTGGTCCACCACCATGGATTCCATTTGGCCAGCGTCTTGAGGCGCTTAGTGTAGAAAAACAATTTAAAAGCCTACAAGAGGCTACCAAGCAGGACAATGCAGAGTTTGAGGCACAAAGGAAAGGTGCCATTGCTGAGGCACAGAGATTATCAGGAGTTAAGAAGGTAGTTTTAAATCTTTTATGTTAAAGATAAGTTATAATTTACATCAACTTATTTAGTGTTGTAAGTGATATTGGCTGGCATAGTTTGTTTATTGTTAATCTATATTTCAGGTATTTGGAGGTGGTACAAAACCACTACTGGATGCCAATGTCCAGAAAATTGTTGATGCTGGATTCTCAGAGGAACAAGCTGAAAATGCACTCAAATATACTAAGAACAATGTAGAGAGAGCTTTGAAAATGTTGCAAAAAAGAGACCATTCGGAAAATAGGAACAAAGAAAAACAACAGAAGGAACCTGAGCAGCCCAAGCGTAAGGGCAGGAATAAGGATCCGAATGATGATGAAGGCATTCCAGTGAAACCGTCTGGTAAAGTGTCATTGTTTGACTTTCTGGAAGATAAACTGCCTAACGTGCCAGAAAAAGACAAAAACCGCTCATATCCATCAAACTCTGAAGATAGAGGGGGAAATTATGGTAATCGTGACAGACATGGCAAAGGTAACTCTCGCGGTCAGAGCTCACGTTACGACAATCCCAACAGAAGAAATGAGAATAGAGGACATTATAATGATAATCACCATAACTCACATAGGGAGGATAGGAAGTATCAAACTCAAAACGAGAAACCTCCTAGATTCCAGAAGAAACTGGAGGAGAAGAATAAGCAACAACAGCAGCAGCAGCAGCAACATCAGTTCCAGCAACAGCAGCAACAACAACAACATCAACAGCAACAACAACAACAACAACACCATCAGCAACAACAACAACACCAACAGCAACAACATCATCAACAACAACAACAACAGCAGCAGCAGCAACAACAGCAGCAGGCCATCAATTTGCAGAACCTGAACTTGCAATACAACCTCCACATGAGAAACGAGAGGAATCTGGCCGATAAAATGCAGCAACCTCAAAACTACCGCGGCAACCCCAACATGGAAAGCTTAGTGGAGGCGACGGCGAACATGAATCTGATGCCCAACCAGGGCCGGCCGGAGGAGAACCAGCGGAATTACCAGCCGCACCCGGACTACCAAAAGTCGTATGTGCCGAATCAGAACATGCAGGAGATCCCGCCGTTCCGTCGCAACAACGACAACGGGGGAAAATTCCAGGAGCAGTACCAGCGTCGGCAGCAGCCGCCGAACGGGTTCATTGATCCGCAGCAGGGCGTGTACGGGGTCAATTACCTGGGCGGGGGCTACGGGCGCCAGTACTACGGGGCCCGCCAGCCCGCCGCGCCCGGGCCCTTCCTGCCGGGGTCGCTGCTCGGCTTCCAGAACGCGGCTGTC